CTATAAGAGATTATTTGGAATTATTGAAATTAGACATTTTATACTATCTATTTATATATTTTTTTATTAATACATTAATATATGTAATATATAAAATATCATAAACAAAAAAAAGTACCTGAGCTAATCAAATCTACGAATCTACTTATAGATTATTCTAGAACTCAATTTTCTAATTTGGTATATCCTCAGACTAAATTTGCTAATACGAGTTAAAATAGAAAAATTTAAGGCAATAAAAATTTCATTTTTTTCATATTATTTGTTTAATTTCATTTTTTTTATTTTATATTATTTGTTTAATTTTATTTTTTCTTTTCATATTATACATTTAATATCATTTTTTCTTTCATTTATTTTTCTAATTTTATTTTTCATTTCATTTCATTTTCTTATTTTATTTCATTTTCCTAATTTTATTTTTTTATTTTATTTTATTTTTCTAATTTCATTTTATAATTTTATTTTATTTGTTTAATTTCATTTTTTCGTTTCATCTCATTTACTTAATTTCATTTTATAGTTTTATTTTAGTTTCTTAATTTGTTTTTTTATATCATTTTTTCATCTTGTTTAGTTTTCTTTTCATTTTATTTTTATTTTTTCTTTTATTTTATTTTATTTTATTTTTTATTTTATTTTTATTTATTTTAAAAAAATAATAAATTAAATTTTTTTTTAAAAAAAAAATTTAAGTAAATTAATAAAACTGTCGTATAATGATTAATAAATTGCATATTAAAATAAAATAATTAGAATTTACAAAATAACATAAAAATATTTCTGGAAAAATTATATTATAGTAAAATTATATTTGTATAATGAAATCATTAATCATATACTATAACAAATAATTCATTAATGCTATAATAAATTATTCATTATACATATTGAATAATTTATTATAGCATTAATAAAGATTCTTATAATAAAGATCTGATCAGTTGGATTGGTAACTTTATTATACTGAGGCGTGATTGTATGAGTAAATTAATCATCCAGATTATGAAGATCTTATTAAATTTTATCTTTACGACTTTAAGCTGATCAGCTATACAGGATATACTAATCAATGAATAATTTTTTAACTTAATGATAGAATATGTAATATCAAAGATCTTGCAAGCTTTGGTACTTTAGGTTATTGTACAGATGTATTGTTATTTTAGCTTATAATACATCAAAAAACATATAGTATACGTGAATTCAGAAGCTTTAGAATTCCTCTTTTTGGGAAGATCTTTCTGTATTATCTGAAGTAATTATGAATAGAGTTCCAAAAATGACTTGCATAAACTCGCATATTTAACTTGCATGATTATGCATAATTGTAAATTTTAGTTACACCTAATTAATAAGTACTTTAAATTAAAGGTATATAGAATAATTTTGACTCGAAACTTAACTTGACTCAACTCATTAGGAATACTAATTATGATTTGCTTGAAATTTTTTGTGAGTATAAAAAGGTTACATAATTTTTCACTAATGTTTTATTAATAATAATTTACATTTAATCCTTTATAAAAGAAAATACAAAAAAATAAAAATTACTTATTGATCTTGATTTAAAATAAAAAATATTTGTTAAGTAAAAGATGTATGCAGTAACACTAACTAAATTCACCAACTCCTGATAGATCTAAAAACAAAATAATCGATCAAAAAATAAAAGAAATGAGTGACTCCTATAACAAATGTTTTGTTAGCAAATTATTCTATTATCGTTGATGTTAATAATAAATACACATTATATCAATAATCATTTTTTTGTGTTTAATAATTCGATTGTATAAATGTTTGAAAAATTTATCTAATACAGATAAATAATTTTATGCATTATTTTTAGTAAACATAATAGTTTTTTAGAATTTTTGATGATAGATTGTCATTAAGATTTTTACTACTTTATATATTAAATAATGTAATATATTTATTTAGTAAAATTTTCTCATATCATTTTAAAATGAATAAATGAATGTTTTACATGTCTTATTATTATCACGTAAATAGTAATGTGACTATCAATTTTGCGTATATAAGACTATTTTGAAAAAAAATTTTTTCTTTTCTTTTTAAATATATATATTAAAAAAATTTGCAGCTGCTTCTTGACAAACTAATTCTATGTCAGTTGTGAAACTAGAATTAAAGTTTCCTTCAATTGACAATCCAGCTAAAAAGCTTCATTCATTCTGTCTTAAAAAAATTTTTCGTTGCTACAGAGAATAATATACCTTCACAAAAAAGAAAAAATATTACAGAGTCAGAAACAACAAAGAAGCTGAGCAACTATAGATATAAAAAAGGTAAAATGTTCTTCTAATGCAAACATGTTTTTAAACCTTGATCCAAATTTAATATTATTTATTTTAACTTTAAGCTCAACAACTATTCTTACTCATGATACAAATATTATTTTCTCAATATTAAATACTAGTCATAATTCATAAATGATAAATCTTGTGTTCAAAATCTTGACTCCTTAATAAATATTAATTTTGGTAGAAAATGCAAGAAATCTAAAAATGATGCTTGTACATTAATATCATAAAATATGCTTTAGCAAACTTTGAACAATAAAAATTAAATAAGTAGATATTATTTATATAAGAGAAATGATGAAAATAATGAAGTAAGTGTAAGACTTCTATTATATAGTATATATGAAATTGAAGTTACACTATTACTAGAAACGGTGGATGATACAAATGATCTGAGATCATCTTATGTGATGATTCAACCTGATTGTATTATTGCACTAAGATATGATAGATTGATAAATATGAAAAGATGAGATTGTTTGAGTATTTGTTTCAAAACTGCAAAGAAATATAGCATGTGATGAATAGGTTTCTTGCATTAATGCCTGCTTTTATGCATTTTATTTGTAGGCAAGAACTTTAATAAATAAAGAATTATGAACTGTATTTGAATTAATAGTTATAGAAATGCTAGACTTTAAAGGAATCAATTCGTATAGATTAAAAACTAAATATTTAGGTAACAGAGGTATAGGTATTATAGAATATTATAAGTTATTTAATAAAGTTGAAATAAAAGGTTTTTTTAGGTTTAATAAGGTTATTGTTTTGTTTTTTACAAATTCTGGTTATACATTTAAAGTTAGAAAGCAAGCTGAAGCAAGTAAAAAGAATATATATCTAACAACATTAATGAAGATAATAATAATTATATACATAAAATACTAGATCATATCATTAATCAAATAAGAAGAAAAATTTAACATTGGATCTGATTTATTAATTTAAACCACTGATAATAGTAAAATTAATATTAATTCATTAATTCAGGAAATATAATAGTCAATGGATCTATTATAAAGATTGAAATTTTAAATTTTAGATAAAGATGAATCACATAACAATAATTGAAGTCGTCAGATACAGGGCATTATGTTTCACATAGTATTCAAACACCCTTATTTTAAATTATTGAATAAATTCCAACTTTATTTTTATATCTTTTATAATATAAAATATTATATTATCTTTTGATATTTTAAATTAAAATACATATTAAATTTAAATTTAGATGTTTAAAAAACAAAAAGAAAGAGAGCGAAGAATTAGTAATTTAGTTTATTATTAAAAAGTGATTGACAAGAGACGTAACTATTTTAGTCACATTAATATCATGATGCCGGCAAAAAAATCTTCGCTTTAACTAGCTTTAAAAAAAGAAGAAATTTTTGACCTCGAAGTGAAAGCATTTGTTATTGGTTGATTTCTAATTAAGTCGACGTAGGCGCCTTTCATTAGGTCTTTTCTAATAAAATCGTAAAAAAAAAAAAAAAAAAAAAATTCTATTATATCCGAAAAAAGAAGTTAGAATTAATAAATAAAAAAAATAAACATGTTTGACTTTTTAGGTAAAGCGTTTTATAACAAAAATAGATACTAAAATTTGGATTTTGAATCAGAGTCTCATTTTTAATGCAGATTTGAAAAATAAACACTTTTTAACATGCGAAAGAAAAATATTAGGTAAAAATTAAAAACAGTTGAAAATAATTTGAGTATGCAAATCTATGCAGTTCATTTACTTAAAATCATTATAAGTATGTCATTATAACAAATAAATTTGATTGAAACTATTTTTTGAAACAAATAAACCACGAGCACATGTGCATTAAATTTTTGCATTTTTTCACGATTATGATTTGCTAGTTATTTATGCTAATCGATCATTTTTTCATTTGGTAAATGTAAATTTCGTTATCTTTGTCCTGTCAGGAGTTAGTTTTATCTAATTATAACGGTTTTTTTATATTAAATAAATTGACATTTTTAGAAGAAATATTAAATCCCTAATCCTTAACCTTCTTCAAAATGATAATATTTTTAAAGCGGTTGTAAGTTTTAGATCCGAGTCACGAGAAGGATTCGATTATTATTTTTATTTTTTATTTGATCCAACTTGTAATAAAAACGAATTATTATTAATTCAGCTTATGTAACTTAATTTTTGTCAAAATTAAATATATTTACCCAATATAATAAGTTTCGTCGGTGTCGTTATTTTTTGCCAATGTCATCATTAATTCTTTTTGATAAGTAAAATTTGATAAGTACAATCAGATTTTTTTTCCTTTTCTTGGGCTGATACCTTTCATACTAAATTAGAACAAAATCGGAGAATCCAAGAATTACTAATGGAAATAGAATTTCAAATACAATTTTTAAATACAAAATGCTTATTATTTATTATTTTTGGACCGCCTTTATGAGAAGATCCTTGTCTAGTTTGTAATTGGGTGCCCTTTTTAAATTTCGTGTTACTATTTCGTTTTAAAATCGACGTCAAAAAGATAAAGAAAAACATTAAATAACTATTCTTGTTTTTGAAAAAGTAAAAGGAATTAGTATAAAAATTTTTTTAACAAAAACACGGACTGACCAAAATAAAACTAAGAACGAACCTAAATTTCATATTTCGAATAAAATAGCTTTTTTTTTCCCTCGACATTTAGGAAAACCATGGCATATCAATATCCTAATAATACATATAACAACGGTGCTTACGATTATTCTCAACAGCAAAAATATCCAGGAGCAGAGCAACAAGTTACTCCTCCGATAATTATGCCTCAAGAGAATCAACAAGGATCATATACAGAACCTTATTCTCAATATCCTCCTCCCCCTCAATTTCCTTCTCCAAACAACAATTCATATAGTCCACCGGCTGAGCCGCCTTACGATAATAACTTGTATAATCCACCTGCTGAGCCGTCTTACAATAATAACTTGTATAATCCACCTGCTGAGCCGTCTTACGATAATAACTTTTATAATCCACCTGCCGAGCCGTCTTACAATAATAACTTGTATAATCCACCCGTTGAGCCGACTTATAATTATAATTCACCTGCTGAGCCGACTTACAATAATAACCTGTATAATCCACAGGGTGAGCCTTCTTATAATAATAACAACAATACGTATAACGCACCGTATGAACAAAATAATTCGTATAATCCGGTACCTGAGCCATCATATAGTAATCCTCCCTATCCCGAGCAATATCCTTCTGAACCATACACATCATCGCCGAATCCACCGCAACCATATAACAATAATTTTTATTCTGACGCTTCTCCATATATAACGCAACCATATTCTAGCACTCAAAATTATAACATCACTCAATCACCGAGTCCTCCTCCTCCAGCACCAGCACCAGCACCATCATCAGTACCAGCATCATTTTCAGCATTATCATCATCACCACCAGTACCATCAAAATCAACATACGATAATTCACCAAAACCTCCAAAAAATTATGAGCCCCCAAATGTACCATCAAAAAATTATTCTTCACCATATTCCGAAGCTCCACCTCCGTCATCATATTCCCCTTCGTCTATGATTCCTCCAAATCAAAGGCCGGAACCACCTAATAATCATAGAGAAAAAGAAAAACGTAAGCGTCCACGTAGCGGTGGATGTGATTGTGCGGATTGTTTCTCAATATGTGGTTGTATAAGGTGTACTTGTACTGTAATCACGTTTATCATTGCCGCGCTTTTTATAGCGGGGGGTATTTTTTTAATTAGTTATTCAAGAATTTTACCGGGAAAATGTCAAGGACTCTGTGATCCTACGAATGGTGGTGGTATACCAAATCCTGGTGGTAATTTACCAAATAATAACAATCCAATTGATCAGGCTAATAATGAGTTTAAGAATGGCACTCAATCTTGTTCTAATTTGTGCAGTGAAAGTGTTTTTAATAGTCTATTTTATGGTGGAATAGGGTTGGCTGGTTTTGGTGCTGTAATGGTCATAACTCAACTATTATGTATGTGTTGTAGGGTGGGTTCAAGTGGTGGAAAAGGTTCAGGTTGTTGCTATTGTTGCTAAAGAGGTAGTTTGTTTAATTTTATTCTTAAAATAATTTCAAGTTGATTCAAAATGTTATATTTATTAAAAAAATTCAATGACATATCATTTGCATTTATTTTATTACAAAAATTTCATCAAATATATAAATATTCAAAAAAAAATACAATATCATTTAAACGTAATCGTAAAGAATAACATGATCTTTAAAAATCCCGGTACTTCATTTCTCCAAGTATCAAGATATCATGAAGATGATACGCCCTTTCCCAAAGTTATGGCTAACGAAACATTTTAGATTTCGAAATGGATGTTCGTAAATTTTGATTTAAGGAAATCAGCTGATTTAAAAGTTTTAATTAGGTTTAATATTTAGAGTCATATTGACTCGCTTCAACGCTTATGAAATGAAACGACGATGAGTTTTTTTTTTCTTTTCTTTTTTTTTTAAAAAAAAAAAAGAATTAAAATGTGATATATGAAAGTACGAAAATTTTTAATTGCATTTATTTTATGTTACACTAGTGTTTTGGGCGATTGGACAATTTTTGAACACATATTTCTATGTCATAATAAAATATTTAGAATCATTCACTGCGTTACACTATCACGTTAACAAACATCTAAATTTATCCGGATTTCCACCGATCGGGAAATTATAATTAAAAAAAATCGGATTGTGAAACATGAAACAAAAGAAGTTCCACAGCGAAATAACCTCTTTTCTATTTCATTTTTGTTTGTTAGTTTATTTTCCCATTCCCATTTCCCATTTACCATTATCATTTAATTTTTTTTTTATTTTCTTTTCTTGAATTAATAAAAAAAAAAAAAAACTCCCCTCTATAAAATAAAAATTAAACAAAAAAATGTCGAGAAATAGATCAAGAAGTTTCATTACTACAGAAAAACCAACCTCTTATAATGATACTTTAGACCAATCTGCTTTACCAAACTTAAATTCTAATTGGGTATACGATAAGGGTAAAACAAATATATATATATATATATATTTTTCAATTCCAAGTCCTTTTGGTTCTTGTCTCTTATGGAAATCGTCTTATTTTTTTTTTTTATTTCCTCTCCTTTAAAATAAAGGTGCTTGGTTAGTTCATATCGTTCTGATTTTATGTATCAAGATTTTGTTTGGTAGTATTCCGGGTGTTCCTTCTGAAGCCAGTTGGACATTTACCAACCTAACATATATGCTGGTAAATATAATCGTTTTCTATTGAAAAATTTCAACTTTTTTTTTCTCTTTCTTTAACAAATACCTTTTTTTTTTCTTTTTTCAATTTTTTTTTAACGTTTGGGTTTAGGGCAGTTTTTTATTGTTTCATTGGGTAAAAGGGGTCCCGTTCGATTTTAATTCAGGAGCTTATGATGGATTAACATTATGGGAACAAATTGATAATGGAGCTCAATTTACTCCCGCCAAAAAGTATCTTACAGCTGTGCCAATTGGACTGTATGTAAGCAAGTTAACCTTTTTCATTTTTGATTTTCTTTTCTTATAAAGAATGTATAAACGTTTATGATTTTCTCTCTCTCTTTTTTTTTTACTTTCACATATATTATTTTTTTTTTTTCAAGGTTTCTACTTAGCACTCATTATACTCATTATGATGGAATTACATTCTTGGTGAATTTCATTTTGTTAATTGTGGTGGTGATAGCGAAATTACCTCAATTACATAAAGTTCGTTTATTTGGAATCAACAGACTTGAGGCCGAATGATAAAAGAGAGAAAAAAAAAAATGGCTTCTCAAAGTGAATCTTAGTAGCTGTTGTATATTTATCGATAGTATATCATGTCTGTTGGAAAGATCATTTATCATATCACGAAGGAATCGATTATGATTGTGTTGATGGTTGTGATTTGTTTAATAATAATAGTTTATGTCGTAGTTATGAACAATAATTAAATAACTTATAAATGTATGTAATAACTCAAAATAATTAGTTGAAAACAAATAATCATTGAAAATAATTCAAAAGTCCATATATATATGATTGATATTAATATTTCAACTGATTTGAGTTGGATACAAATGTGATATTTCAATAATGTGACTACCTAGTAATTAGCAATATGCGGACCTTTTTTTTTCATTTGGAAAGTTACCAAAAAAATCCACTTCATAACATTAACTCTACAATTAATTTAAACTGATTTTTTATCATCATCACCACTTTGCAATGGTTTCTCAAGTGCATTATATCTATCAGCCAATCTATTATATTCATCGCCTTGGTTGGACGCTTGCTTCTTTAATGTTTCAAAGTCTAAAGTTTTCTTCTTTTCTTCATCCAATTCTTTATTAAGCTTTTCGATTTCACTCTTCAGCTGTGTCTCGGCATCCGTTGCACGTACATATTCTTTTGAATGGTTGGTAGCCTATAAGATGTAATAATATAAATATCAACGGATGACCTCTTAATTCACTTTTACATCCTTATTTTAGCCTAACCTGTCTCTTTAAGGCCTCAAGATTATCTTCGCTCGCCAATAGTTCTACCACTAACACATATGTTCTATTAAGAATCCTTTTTTTTTTTTTTTTTTTTTAGCGTTAGTATAATAATTAATTATTGCATTGAAAACATTTCATGATAATAATACTTACAACGACAAGAAGAGCGTAAATCCTGTCAAATACCTATAAATGCAAAACATATGATGATTAATATAAGAATTAATAAACCTTTAACTTTTCAAAGATAAGGTCTGCTTACATGTTGCGTTGATTATAGAATTTCTTAGCATGATGTGCAGCCTCTGTTCTCGCGTCAAGTGGTTCGTTTTTATCATGTTGGACAGAATATGTACGATTGGTGGCATCTAAATACCATAATATAATTATTTTATATAAGTTTAAGTTCAAACGATCAATTATTTTCATCACACAACAAATGAACTTCTTCCTCCCGTGGCACACCTACCTAAAAATAAGATCAAAACAAAACTATCGAAAATAATGCAAATCAAGATTAACAGATCAAATGGATCAAAAAAGTAATGTAAAGTCAACTCGACTTTGCAACTTCTCATCAACTTACATGAAAGCGAATTTTAATGCAACTTGAGACTTGGCAACCTAATAAAAATAAAACATATCTTTAATACGTAATTTCGGAAAGTATTATAGAATATACGCGAGAAATACCTTACCAACGTTGACCTTGACACCCAACGTAAAACACCGCGTCTCCACGCGTGTGGGAAAGGTAACTTGTTAAAATAAATTTACGTCAGTACCTTTTCTCATGAAAACAAATCGTTTATCAGCCTAACACTTACAATCAAAACTACGAATGCTGCCGACTTTTAGACATGAAAAAAGTGCAGTTAGTTTGGAATGAAGATAAAGAAAGCCTAAACTTGTAAAGCTGTAAGAAAACATTACCTCTGCGACTAATAAAAGGAAAACCAAAGAGTAGTAAAGAGTCATACTTTGAAAATTAGGTTTTATTGTTTTATCAAGAGGGAAAAAAAATTTTTTTTTTTTAAGAAAATAAACTATTAATGATGTCAGTGATATTTATATCAATTCTCAAAACCTACATTAACTCTTGATAGCCTTATTGCAGGTTAATTACGTCAAAATACGTTTAAAATACGTGTTTAACGTTGTTTGAATAAAGGCAAAAAAAGTCAAACACGTGCAACATTGTTCCATATAGGGATGTTAATGATCCGATCTTTATGTGAAAGGCGATCTTTAAGATCACTCAATCTTATTTAATAATTTAGTAGTAGTATAGTATTTATTTACGAATTGAAAAAAAAAAAAAATTTCAATATCTTGAGGTAAAGATTGTAGAAGCGTCAAACGTGAAATAAATCAGGAGGTAAATTTAACAGAAAATCTAAAATATTTTATAGATGTTAAACAAGCGTTATGGTCAATTTTTTTTTACTAAAAATTTAATAACAACCGAATCATAGAATGGCTCTATTAAAAAATGCGTTACCGATACTTTCATTGCTGCTGATGATTAACCACGTGACGGACTGATCCGGTTCGATAATTTTTTCTCGTGAAACGGGTGATTTTTTTTTTAAGGAAAAAATTAACTAATTATTTAACTTTATTTGATAACGCTCAAAATTGTTGTCGTATGTCATTCTTATTTATTTTATTCCATTAATAGGTGTCCCTTATCTAGTTTCCCTTGCACGATTTTGCATTACTTCTTATTCCGAGGAAACGGTTCACAACGCTACAAACTGAAATAGAAGAAAAACACACCACCACTTTTGCAACGAATAAAAGTAGTAAAACAGATAACCGAAGAAAATGATAAGTTAGTTTTTTTAAACTTGCTCAAATCACCCTTTTAGATATAATTAACTGTGTAAATTTAACAGTGAAAAGGTTGAAGTAGACAGAATTTAATCACATGTTGAGACACAACGAGATGATGATTATGGCGATCAATATCGTCATAAATCTGAATCGAAGAAATATTAGTAATAGCATTCGTTCTTTTGATCACTATGAATCTCGCTCAAGTTACTATCAAGAAAAATTGTTGGATAAATACTGGCTAAATCGGGTGAATGATCGATTTTGAACTCAATATTTAATAATTTAGTAGTAGCATTACAAAAAGAAAATTAAATTTTTTTTCAGTAAGACTAAAGAAACATTAAATAAACGAAATAAACGATATCAACACTTTTAACATAAATCCAATAGATTTAAAGAAAAACATACTTTTCATTATGAGTGAGTTATATTACAATGAATCGTTGATTAAGCTTTATAAAATATAACAGTTTATTTACATAATCACGTGTTCTTATCTAATTTTATGACTTTTAATCAACTTTTATTTAAATAAATTAAAGATATAGGTCGCTAATTAGTCCTAATGGCAATGTTCCCATTGAGCTCAAACATTGAGTCAAATCTTTTTAAAGTCTCGTAACTCGAGTCAATATTAGTTGACCACGTGACGGACTGATCCATAGTCTTTAGTCCTAGCAGTCCTAGCCTAGTCTTAGTTCTAGTCTTTGTTCTAGCATACATTTTTTTCTTTTGTGAAACGTGAAACGGGTGATTTTTTTTTTTTTTTTTTTTAAGGGAAAAAAAAAATTAAACTTTATTTGAAGCATTAACGCCCACCTTAACCTCCCACAACTCTCTTAAGAGCATAGTAAATATCAAAAAATGGTGGTCGTATGTCTTGTTTCAGTTTATTCCATTTATTAGGTGTCCCGTATCTTAGTTTTCCTTACACGCTTTTGCATTACTTTTTTAGGCCGAGGGAAACGGTTCACAGCCCTACAAAACTGATAAGGAAGAAAAACCCACCACTTCCGCTACGAATAAAGGTAGTAAACAAGATAACAGTTCTGGCTCTAAAAGTATTAGGAAAATAACCGAAGAAAGTGATAAGTTAGTTTTTTTTTTTTTTAAAAAAAAAAAAACTTGCTCAAATCACCTTTTTAGATAAAAAATCAATTTTTATTAACCATTGTGTAAATTTTACAGTGAAAAGGTTGAAGTAGACGAGTTTGGTCGCATGTTGAGACGCGATAGCAGGCAACGTGATGATGATTTTGATTATAGTGATCACAGTGATCATGATCGTTATAAATCTGAATCACGGAGATATAGTAGTAGTAGCATTCGTTCCTCTGAAGATCATTATGAATCTCGCTCAAGTCACTATCATCCAAGAAAAAATGTCAGATGAATTCTGGCTACGATCGGGCGAATATTGATTTTTAATTTAAACTCATCAAAATTTTTTTTTTTTTTTTTTTTACTTATTTTAGATGGTCTTCGACGTGCCCATAAAAGCCAACAGAGAGATCGTGAACATCGAAGAGATAGAAGCAGAAATGATCACGCTCGTCAGCTTCATTATGATCGATATGTTCCGAGTAGATCGAGCTATCATAGACACACTGATAGTGATCGGGAAGATTATGATCGTTACGATGATGATAGGTTCAGAGATCGAAAGCGTGCTAGGACTTGGTCACGTCGTTCTTCGGATAGTGAAGAAGAAATTGAGCGGAAGCGAAGTGGCAGCGGTAGACGTCGCCGATCTTTGGACAGGAACGATGAACCGGAAGGGAGGAGATGGTCATATAATAGTGTTGAAGATGTGCGTGTTTTGTTCCCTCTCCCATCGAATTAATAAAGTTTATTAACCAGATCATTCTTTTTGTTTTTTCAATAATTCAGCCATATCAAGCAGCAAGTAAATATATAGACACTGAATTTTACACCAAAAAAATTTATGTTGGTGAGCTTAAAGATGTTACCGAACGTACTTTACACATGGCTTTTGAACGATTCGGTGATATAGAAAAGATTGACATGATTCCTGAAAGAGGGTAGATGCCAAATTTACTTGTACTAGGTAGATAGATATTAGGAGAAAGATAATATATTAATGATTAATTATTTTTTGTAAATAGTATCGCGTTCATTGATTTCGATTCCGAAGAAACTGCTACCGAGGCCCGTCGTAAAATGAATGGAACATTATTAGGTTCAGGTTGTATACAAGGTATTATAAATAAAAGTTAATAATTCTTTCGTAAGAAGTAATCATAACACGATCAAAGTTAAATTATGATGTGGATTTCTAGTAAATCGCGCTAAAAGACCGGAAAGAAATGCAAATGGATTTGGAAATGTTCCTTGGAGTGATGCAGGTTTGCAAAGAAATGAAATATCATGGGACGAACAGATTAAATATCATATAAATTAGCTGATAAATTTTTTATAGATGGTGCAGTTGCTAAGCAGAATGATATTAAGCCAATTACATACGAAATTCAATATTCGTTTCCAAAAACTTCATATGTGAATGATCCATCTGATTATACTACAACTGTTAATAGATCAGGTTAAATAGTTATATTTCATATTTAGGAGAATATTATTTCAAAAGATTAACAAATTTATTTTTCGTATTTTTTAGTCTCCATTCCGCCTTCACAACTACCATTAGATCCAAGAGCACAAGGGCATAAACGTAAAATAATAGCTTACGATGATCTTTAAAGTAGTAAAGATAGTACTTTAAAAAAGTTTTAGAAATTGGACAAGTGGCGATCCAAATTTTGAATAATCTATTTCTATAAAAAAAAAAAAAAAAAAAAAAAATCTTCAATTACATCATAATAATTGAGGAAATTTTCATGTATTTTACTTTAACACTCTAAGGCATTGTTTTAGTCCTCATTCATTTGTGTTATTTATGTTTGAGACAAGTAGAAATTTTCATTTTCTTCACATTATTTTATTAATTCTTTTAATTCTTGAATTGTATTTAAAAGAAAATAAATATAGAAAAGCTTATATTTGAAAAATATTAAATATTATTATTATTAACTTATTAAATCAACTTGATGGATTCACAAATATTTTCTAGCAGAAGAACGAACTTTAGTATCAAAAGCGATTGAATTAATAGGAAAATTAACTTCATAGAATGGATTCATTAATATCTATAAAAAAAAAAATTTATATAGATTAATGAATTGATTTCAATGAAAAGAGTTTTTAATACTTATTAAATACCTTTATATATGTTTCATAACATTCATTAAAGAAATTTCTAATACTATCCTCATTTTTAGTCTCATGTAATAACAAAAACTTGATATCTTTAAAATGATAAATTTTATTCAGGAAGTTAATTTTTTTTTTTAAAAAAAAAAAAAGAATAATTATTATTAAAAGGATACTGCCAGCTGAAATGAAAGCAGAAACGTGCCATTCGTTGAATTTATCTACAGTTTTAAGATACCTGAAAAATAAACAAATGAATTTTTTAAAATTGAGATATGAAAATTTATAAATAATAATTGTCATACATGGTATTGGTTGTCCATTGTAATTCCTCTACAAGGTCCAAAGCGGAATGAATGATAAATTGATTTAAATGACGATGTTCATCTTTCTACTAAGTGGATTTAAAAAAAAAAAAACCAATGAATGAGCTCAAAGGAAGATGATATTTCTCGATTATATGATGTAAGCGAGAGTATCACCTTTGCATTTTGGTCAAGACTAGCAGACCTTGTCCCAGATGAACCAAATTCTATTTCATAAATGGGATTGTCTTTAGTTCCTACTATAGCAAAATAGTATGACATTTTTTAAACAAGGATGATAAGTTTTTGAAGTGAAAAAATTATATATGTTTTATTTATTAAATTCTTTTTTTTTGTACAAGTCACATGCCGATATGCCGATCAAAAAGCTAAGCCACTCCCATCAAAAATTCACTTTGTCGATCGATTCACATTCATCGATCAAATAGTATAAAAATTTTTCGTCATCAGATAATTTTTGTTCAGCCTTTTTTATGACAATTTTCTTCTTAAACAAAGGAGCGTTTAAAACCATACTATGATATTCACCCATTTCACCGCATCCATCAACGTTGTCTTGTTTTAAAATAATCTCTTCATATAACTCTCTGGTTAATATCTTACCGACCATCTTTCTAGCCACTTTTTCATGAATTTTTTCCAAGTTCACACAAGAGATTATTATCTCAAAATTACTTTGAGTAAAGATCAGTTCCATCAACTCATTTCGTTCTCTTTCCCATAACGGTCGAAGTAATTTAACGTCGGTGTTTTCCACCACCCGATCCATAAATTGATTACATACGTCCAATATATCACCCGTTGCCAAGTAGGGTACTTTCTGGGACGTGATCAAAGAACGATACGATTCCAAGTATGGTGGGCTTATTGGTAAGAATGTATGAGGCAATGATAATGCATTCGCTTGAAGTGCGATCAGATGTTGTGGATGTGCCAAGAATGGTTTTGTCGTATGAGGAGGAGTGAATGTCACCAAAGATTTTATCTTATATTTTGACGTTTGCTCGGATATTAAGTGTAACGTTAACGTGGAATCCTTTCCGCCTTTTTTTTTAATAAAAAAAAAAAAAAAAGAAAAAAAAAGGTGCGAGTATCATTAAAATGCGAACGTGTTTGTTAAAGTGAAGAGTGAAGAAAAAAATATTTTACCTGTGAACGAAAGACAAACCTCTTGAGGTTCGATATCATTTGTACTTTCATCCATCATATTTGAAGAATTGAAGATGAAAAAAAAAAAGAAAAGTGGGGAGAGGGAAATAATTTCTGAAGGGCATTAATTAATCGGTCACGATCATCACAACATTACTACATATTGCTTTTTTTTTGAAAAATTTGAAAGACGCTTTTTTTATCATCTCAATAATATTTTGGTCGTGTAACAGCACGGCGGCCGGATTATCACCGGGGTAAGTAAACCTTGTCTTACCTTTGTGTCGTGCCGAGACCATTCAAAGAGCAAAGAAGGCGTACGACATTACGAATTTAATGTATTTAATGGAGTGAAAGATCCAAATATTTTCCTTTTCTCTTTTCTATTTAACTTATAAAGTCCAAAATATTCTTTAATTTTAATTTTTAAATTAAAGGAAAAGTGAAAAAAATTTTTTTTCCAATCATCTCACATCAAAAAGTTCAAATTCCATATTTATACTCATTTTTTTCTTTTTTAAAAAAAAGTAAAAAAAAAAAAAATGAAATTCTTAACCCTTATCGCGTTGGTAATTTTTGCCTTTGCCACCGCTGCCAATGCTTTACCAGCACCACCACCATCACAACAACCAAAGCTTACGCCCTATAAAGCCTCAAAAGTTAAGCTTATGTATAAACGGTCACTCTAAGAGAAAGCCCGGTTTGTTAAAGCAAAGGCTTAGAAATCTATTAGTGAAGAATATTCAGGGAGATATTTTAAAAAAAATTTTACTTAAAAAAAAATATATGAATTTTGTGATTACCTTTTTATTCTGGATGACCATTATTTAATTAGATAGAAAGTCACTATTTGTATACAATTCAAAATTTTTTTTTTTTTTTTTAATAAAATAATACTCTTTTTAATCCTGTTTTCTGAATCCGCAGTAATTTTGATCTTGAAAATGCGACGTATGTTAGTCCCTTAATTTTTTTTTTTTTTTTTTTAATAAAAAACAAAAGATCGCTCTTAAAGATGGGTGATAATGACGAACGACCAAGTACTCGTCGACGCGCCGCCAGGACAACTGAAGTACGAGAACAATTACTTGATAATGATGATAGCTACTCTCAACAACGGCGCATAAAAAGACAAAGGTCTTCAATTATTTCAAGAATAATCGGTGCAATAAAATGGGCAAGCATAGCTTTTGTCATTTCTTGGTATTTTGAGTTATTACAAGGAATCCAACAAGTGTTGGAAAATAGTTGGACGAGGTAAATTTATTCCAACTTTTACATGTTCCTCGTGAAAGAAGTTTTTACGAATCATTTTCCTCCTTTATTGCATTAGAACGATCTTTTACCTATCATTATTCGCACTATTAAATATCATAACGATTTTTGTATATTTACAATATTATATACCGTTCACCAAAGATGTCCCACCACCAAATTATGGTTTATGGGATGTTGATGATACTTTGAAAAAATTTATTCCTATAGCCACTATTCTGAGTATAATATGTGTAATGGGCTTATTAATTAGTTTTTGGAACATTTGGGGATTCTTCGGTACTCCTCTAATAGTGTTTTCTTTATTAACTAGCTTTATTTCTATTTTAAATATTTTGTAATTTTTAAAAAATATATCTCAAAAGGATATTATGTCAGATTTCCCCCGTCTTTGAGCGAAACATTTCTTTATCAATGAAAAGTTTCGTCATGCAATTGTGGGTATATTGAATCAACTACACTGGCATGAAACGCGTTTTAATAATCGTATTATGTTATCATTACGTTGATACATTGAAATTAACTCTTCTTTATAATTAAATTATATCAACACAATAAAAACAAATTTATGTATATTTACACAATATACTAAATAAAGCGTCTTTACAAATTCAAATTTTACTATTACATACTAATTATGTTAGAAATAATAATTTGACATAAAAAATTACAGTAGTTTCTTGCCTTACATAAGGAGCGTAAAGAGAAGAAAAAAAATCCCTTCTTTTTTTTTTTCTCGCGATTTTTATTAGCAAACTTTCATCACTATAACTTTTTTTTTTTTTTATCCTTCCAACATTACATTAATAAAAATAAAAATAATTCTTTTTTAATTGCTCATAATTTTAAATTAATATAAGCGAACACTAGCCAATTACACTAGTCTATTTAGTTGGATGGACCTGTAGCAGCCGTCATGGCCTTATTGGCCTTTGCTTGCATCACAGCCGCAATCTTTTGTTGATGCCCGACGGAAACGACTGGCTTTCTGACTGATCTGATTTCATCGGACGCAAAACCTGGAATACGAATATTCCAGTTTCGCTCTATATAAAAATAAAAATAAAATAAAAAATGAGTTTGAAATCAAAAATCTTACCAGCCAGAATGAATCATCAATATTCACTACGTACCTAGGTGAAGCTGAAGATCCTTCACCTCTAATGTTTCTGATTTGCGATGTTTGGCTAGCAAACATGCAAATGAAGCCACCGATGAAATAAATTCGTCTGCAATTTCGAGGAGAATCTATTAATAAGGTTATAATTAGTTAAACTCATTACATTACATTAAATTTTATTTATTATAAAGGATTTAGACAAATTAATTTACTTCTTCAACTTCCGGCTCCAATCTCTCTTTTGGATCTATTTGATCAACTAATTGCTGGACTTTTCGTTTCGGTAAGAGATGTTGAGCACCTGCATCTTCCATGTCAACATCCACCACATTTGATGTGGATGTTTCGGGGTAGATGGCATTGCTGCCATAAATGGATGCAAGAGTTTTACCGTTATGACCTGGATGAATTTTGTTAGGCGACGATTGAAGAACGCCCGTATTAATGGCCGGAGCTATCGGAGGGACCTGTCGAGGAACTGCAGCTGCTGCAGCTGCTGCCGCGCTTGCTGCCAGACTTTCCGCAGTCTTTTGCGCTAAAGTCGATGATCTTGTATCCGAGTCAATCTCCATCAAATCCTCATTTGTAACAGATTGTAGAGGCTGAGATGAATGCTGCTGCCTCGGTGAAAGAGGATGCAACTGCTGTAGATGCAGTTGTTGTGTTCGTGGAGATTGTGGTAACACCATCACTTGTGGAGATTGTGATTGTGTAATAGGTGATTGAGGAACCTGTTGTAACGATGATGACATCTGTCCAAGTTGATGTTGCATGTTCGTTGACATCATCGAACCATCTTGTGATTGGCTAGAGGTCATATTTGTAGGTTGAAGGATGGGTGATGAAGATGGTATTTGTTGTGTCGTAGTAGGTATCCTATTAAAATCATTGCCTTTTGTGGGGGATAGAAATTAAGGTTAATATTATTGAAATGGTCATGTTTTTAAAATTAAGAATAAAAAAAAACGTTTACCTGCTGGAGATCCCACGGCCCGATTTTGACCTAACGTATTCATTGTCGCCCTTGGTAAGGGTGCATTTACTTGCATCGGAGATCTGGCTACTTGAGGACCCATTAATCCTCTTGGAGATTGTGGTGGCATATGAGGAACCGCTCCCAGGCCGCTTGCTCCTGGCTGTACCGGAAATCTTACCGATGCAATAGCTCTTAAAAAGTGGTGTCTATTCTCGTAATCTTGTTTGACACTAGGCACTATGTTGGGCTGTGACAAAGCCTCTTGAACAATATTAATTTCATTTATTAATTGCTGTGGAGTGTGGATGCTTTGATACTCTGGCGGAATCATCTTGGTCCATGTAAAGAGTTGCTGCTGTTGCTGCAGATTCTGCTGCTGTATAGATTGTTGATGTTGTGAATTCATCGATGATATTGCGGTGGTAGAAGCAATAGAACGAGGTATTGAATGTGGAGATGACATAGAAGTTGAAGGTTGGTCTGGTGAAGCAGATATACCGTAACTTGTAGATTGATTATTGTTAACTTGATGTTGACGTATTGCGCGCATAGCGTCCTCATATTTTTTATACATTGCCGAACCTGCTTCAGTGTTTAATCCCAATTGCTGAGCTTGACTAAAGAAATCTGTGGCCATTTTATTTAAAGCTTGAGGCAACACATCCGGATTACTTTTTTCTAAAGATGGTAGTTTCGCACGCCCACCTCCAGTGCTAGGTTTTCTTGCGGTATTTGTACCTTTCTTTTTAGTACCCCCTCTAATTGATGTCCCCCCTCGTCCTGCTCCTATAGCATCCGTATTTGCTTGTTGTACAGACTGCGATCGGTGTTGTTGCTGTGGAGAAGGTTGTATGGTTTGCTGTTGCTGTATTAAAGTTTGTTGCTGTTGTTGTTGTTGTTGTTGTTGTATAGAAGGCTGTGTAGATTGATTCTGCGGCGGTTGCTGTGGTATTGGGTTAATTTGCATATTCATTGGTAGTGGTGAGCCTTGTGGTGTCTGTTGCAATTGCGGTCTTTGCTGCGAATATTGCTGGTGCGCTCTCATCTGAAGTTGCTTATTTTGTGAAGGTTGTTGTTCCTGTTGAGTATTCTGAGAATAATTCGAGTACTGATCAAGTGTTGTTGTTGAACTATTTGAAACGATTTGTTGCGATTGCTGTACAACTACTGTTGGCAAGTTTGGTGTTTGTAGGTTTGGTTGATTGTTCTGTTGTGACATTCTGAGACAATGGTTTTTTTTTTTTATTCTTCCTTGCTGTTTTACTTGAAATTGTTCAATCTTTTAAATGGATTTCCGGATTTTTATTTTCACTCTCGTCAAAGTCAAGTAGGAATAAGTTTAGATCTCGTCTGTTTTCACGGTTAACGATTGTATAAAGTGAATAATTTTTTGTAAAGAGCGCTTTGCCCACCCCTTTTTGATGTCACGTGATTACCGCTCGTTTTTGTTGAAAAATTTTCCTTTCAGCCAACCAATCAAAATCGAGCATCCGTTTAAAAGATTTTTCTTTGATTATTAAGGTCCGAAACTCATTCGTTAAAAATCAACATTTTCACGCGTTATGATGTTCCTTTCGCGCGTCAGACAAAGCGAGGATTACATTTTTTTGACGTATGTTTAGAAAATGCTCCCTTCAAATTCATAATCAACCCTCCTTAACCTACAAACCAAAGGCGTGACATCAGGTGACAAATAGGATTTGGAAATTGTGAGCATGCGATAAATAACGGAATCATGAACGTAATTTATTTATTTATAACTCCAAATGATAAAAAAAAGAAACAGAGATTCGATTGTACAATCACGTAATTACAAACTTTATTAATTATAAATGTTAAAAAATTCTTTTTTTAAAAAAAAAGGAAAAAAAAAAAAAAAAAAAAAAAAAGAAAAAATGTAATCATAATTATTCTAAGAGAATAAAGAAAAAATAAACATTTATGAAGATTCTCCCGAGGTTTTTTTTTTTTAATAATCTAGTAACAAAAACAATATACAAAAAGAGAAAAAAAAATTACAAAAGATTCGAATGACTTTTTTAAAAGAAGGGAACGTTTTTTTTTTTTTTTTAATTTTTAAAGTCCCAGATTCTGATTTCACTATCTTCACTTCCCGAAATAATCTTTGTATCACTTAACGCAACACAATTAACCGCACCCGTATGACCGAATAATGTGTGCATACATTCTCCGGAATCCTGATCCCAAATCTTTACAGTCTTATCATGAGCTCCGCTAACCACTCTGAGCTTATCAACCGCCAGAGACCACACACCTTCAACGTGACCAAATAATGTACGCATACATTGTCCTGTCTCAAGTGACCACATCTTAATTGTACTATCTAATGAACCCGAAACGATCACAGGTTCGTCAACTTTGTCCGAATCTTTACGTTGTTTCTTTTCTCCAAGTAATTCGTTGAAAGGGGTGGCATTACACCGTAAAGCAGGTTGGATACATTGAATCGAAGCAACGTGTGTATTTTGATCAAATACCCTGGTACAGGACTTTGTCTTCAAATCCCATATACGTATCGTTAGATCGTCCGAACATGATAATAACTGTGATTGCTTATAGATCACCACACGATTAACGCAATCCGTATGTCCTTTAAAGACGAAACATTCACATGATGCGAAGTTCCAAACTTTGATTATGTGATCCGTCGAACCACTGGCAAGGAAACGATCGTCAAAGTGAAGTGAAACGATCCCACTTGTATGCGGGAAGGTTCGAAGGCATTGTCCGGTATAATAATTCCATATCTTCACGGTCCCATCCATGGAACCCGTAATCAGCTTCGTATCATCAAATTGTAATGCTCTTACACACCGTGTATGTTCCTTCATGACACGAATGATTTCCCCGGTCTCAAGGTTCCACACGCAAACGGTATTATCCAAAGATCCACTAATGAGACGATTGTTAACATCGTCAAACTGTAGGCATAATATGCCATCAGTGTGACCTTTTAACACTCTAACGTTATATCGACCTTTACGCCAATTACGTTCCACGAGGAGACGCTCACGATAAACATCCTTCCACGGACGAGTCTGTCGAGGTTCAGGTTTTGAAATATCCGGGTATAAAGCTGATGATCTATCATTCGATATACGAGCACGCTTTATCTCTCTCATATAAGACGGTATACTTGACGATGAAGGTGAAGAGGTTTGTAAATGTCTCATTGATTGACGTTGAATATCAATGGCCGTACTACATGTCGCGACAGTGGAATATGATGTTAGGGTATTATTTGATACGGGTCGTTTGTTGTTTCTACACCTTCTTTTCTGTTCCAAGAGCGGTAAACCCCAACCACATTTGTAACATTTCCTATCTATGTGCTGTTCGCATAACTTATGCCATACCACATTATCGTCGGCTATGTACTTCCATGACCTGGACACTTGAGCGGCGTAACATAATGAGATTGCGTCCAGGTATGAAAGGATTTTAAAGGATAATTCTCTTGGAAGAGCCGCAATGAAATCGATCCGAATCAAATCTTTCAGGTTATCTGAGAGGAACGATAATTGAGGAAGACAGCACTGGATTAATATTCCCTGTAAAATCAGACAACGATTCTGTGGAGGTGCGGCGGAAAACAATGACCATATATGCGTGACCGTCTCCCGTTCCGATTGTGATAATTTTTCGATTTGCTATTGAATTTAAAGCATACGAGTGAATTTTATTTATTAAGTCATACATACGGAAACAATTACGTAATTGTCCTGTAAAGATCTTGGCATACCTTTTGCAAATCGTTAAGGGTAAGTTCTTCTGCCATTCTTTCTCTCATGAGATCAGGACGGTGACGATAGCAATAATGTTCAGGCTGAATATGATTATCAAAATCTGTATTATCAATAAGGCTATTATCAATAGGGTTGTTACTAATAGATAGTAGCCGACCGGTTCCTCTAGATTCAGGTTTATTATCGAGTGAGTCCTCTATTTGAAGGTCAGCAAAATTTTGTACTGGAATTGTTTCTTGACTATTATCTTGCATGGTTATTTTTTTTTTTTTGATGCTATATATATAAATATTAATGTATGTATGTATGTATGTATGTATGTATGTATAAAAAAAAATATATATTTATATAACAATAATAACAACAATAATAAATTAAATATTATTATATATATATATCTGTGTGTGTGCTCTAAAAAAAAAAAAAAAAAAAAAATAACGAATAGCTACTAAAAAAACCATAATAAACAAATGGTTGATCCAGTTGTGATATAAAAAAAAAAAAAAAAAAGAGCGTCATAATTTTAACGTATTAGAAATTATTCGATATATAAAATTTATTTGTTTCACAAAAATCACACCAATTTGGCCTAAGTGATTGATTTTGCTTATCTTAAGTCTATATTGCACCATTTTGATGCCATCTTATTCATTTCCACGAAAATGGACATAATTATCGAACGATTTTTTTTTTGACCATAAAATTTACGTTTTAAAATGTGTTACAAGATTCATAGTGCCTAGAATTTTGCTCTAAAATTATGAAAAATTTCCCTAATTATAAGAGAATTAAAACGCGTCTTTCCCTAAACCCTTTTGATGATGGTTGACAATTGAGATTTGAATCAAGTATCAGCATCTTTCAACATCTTTTGAACCCTTTACGCGTATTGAAAATTTCCTTTTTTATACAAAGCACACCTCGTGAAAACTGAACAGAAAAGAAAATCCATGGTTTTTTTTTCTGATATATTTGTGACTATAACATAAAAAGAGAAATAAAAAGAAAAAAAATCAAGTTTGTTTTCAAGTTTTGCTCTTTTTTTTTTATTATTATTATCCTTGCATCATGTATGTGCACCCTTATGTCCCATTTGTTATTTCTAGATGCTAACGTGATTCGTCAAAAATATGGGAAAATCCGAATTTGGCTTTTTTTATATTATCAAAATAAGCTAAAATGATGGTTTCACAACATCCATCGCTTAAGTAAACTTTAAACGAGTACTTACAGTAACTGTTTATGTTATTATCACCAAAAAATAAAAGTGGCTGTCTCATGGAAATATTAAAGTAAACGCCACCACCTGAACCTGAGTTAAAATAGAACCTTCTTGTGTTTATGGTCTCGCCCTTATTTTGATTGATAATCATAAACATGACATGAACCTCGTGAGCCAACAAAGGTTTCATAGTAAATAAATTAAATAA